GCCCGTCGACAAGAAGGACCAAGTCGAAGCGCGCCGTCTTCGCCTCAAGTGCAACGAAGGAAGGAAGGATGTCGCCACCAAGGACGACAAGAAATGCAGAGAAGGTCGAGACGAAAGGGTCACAATGAGGCATCCGGCTGCCCCTCGCCCGCTCGAACTCCGTCAAGACCGGCCGCGAAACAACTTCAAAAAGAAGAACGGTTATGTCCTCACCCACAAAGGACTGGATACGCTTGCAAAGAGGTTAGGCTTGGAGATTGTCCCTCCCATATCCCCGGAGGATAAATCGGACAGGGTATGCCCCCACCCGCAGCATCCAAAACTTCGATGGATCCGCGCCAGAAAGGAATTCGGACCGCTGGACGATGGCCATCGATCGCACGAGGAGCCCCATGAGCCCCGGCGAACAAAAAAAAAGCGACAACATCAAGTCGACAAAAGCCCGGATCGCCACCACCAAGAGCAGCCGGCCGATGGGTTCCACCTCTACGGAAGAGGTCCATCGCAAAGACCGAGTGTTTGCAACAGCTCGGCGGACGGAGCGCGCACATCAAGCAGCCCGTCGACATGATGCCCAACATCAAGCTCATCATTCTTGCAAAGAGGGAAGGAAGTCGTGCCGTAAATCGCCGCCTTCCTTGGTCAAGCATCGCCGGACGTTCTGAAGGAAGGAAGGAAGGATGACTAAGCCCTACGCTCGCCAATTATTAAAGGAAAAAGCAAATAAGTTTTCACTTATTTTACGTTGTGACTTGATCCCTCGTTTGTGCTAGTACGCAGTTGTATTTCCTTTTGGTGTCTCCTCCTCCTATCCACATTTCTTTTCGTTTGTACAGGGGGAGGTGTTGCGGAGGCGCCTGTGAGCGCCCGCGCCCTTTTCCCTTGGCTCCCCGGTCCCTCGCCTATCCAGTGCCCTTTCCACCGTAACGGGGTCTCTCTCCCCCAGGGGCCTGCGATGGCATTTATTTCCCCAGTTCAGTTCTAATTTTCCTCCTCCTCTTGCCGCCATGTCGCTCACCGAATAAACAGTCTTTGATACTGTTCGTCCCGTTGCGCACACCACTTCTATCAAGACACAACAATAATGCAATTCCGGATTTTGAGAATGTTTGACTCATTTATCCAGCTATTCATTGTTTTGGCTTCCACGTATTTTCGTGTGGTGCCTCGTCTTTTGTGTGCCTTAAATTTCCGTCATTCCAGGATTACTCACTTCCGGTCTCTTAATCTTCCAACCCTAGCAAAAAAATGTTAATTTTTAATCCTTTTACCCTCAAATTTAAGTCTGTAGTCGGTTTCACATTTGAGGAATTGCTCAAAAATGAGATGTCTTGATCTCTTTAAAAAAACCAGGATCAACACTTCCCCGTACTCTCTCTCTCTCTCTCTCTCTCTCTCTCTCTCTCTCTCTCTCTCTCTCTCTCTCTCTCTCTACGTCCCTATGTTTCTCTCACCCCTCTCTCTTTCTCACTCTCTCTCTCTCTCTCTCGCTCTCGCCCACCTTTCCCGGCTTCTTGTGCCTTGGTGTTGCAAAAGTAACGCCTCCTCCCCCGCCACCACACAACTTTTCTATTTCCGTTTTTCATTGGATGGCCGAAATGTTCGAGAACTCGACCCTCGCCCGACCCAGGGGGACAAATTGAACTAGATGGGCCCCATCTTAGGCCCCTTCTAAGGGCCCTAACCCTTTTGGCAACCCCCGAAAGGGGCGAACAAGGAGATTTTTGGCCTTTTCCTAGTGGGGGGCCACACTCTAGCATTCCGCCCCTTTCCTGCTGACCCTCCCACAGGTGTTCTTTGGAATACTGCTAGAAAGAGCTCTTTAAAGATCGCTTTCAGCTTTCAGTAGAAAAAACGACTTCCGGGCGGGGAGGGTTTCGGAACGACTTTTTTGGTGAACTGGTTGTAAGGTTCGGACGTAGGCTAGCAGAGACCATTTGCGGAAGACAGGTTAGCTAGCAGGGATAATTAGGCAAGGGAACCTGGCATAGCTCTTGACACCAGGCAGGCTAGCAGAGATCCTTGACAAGGTAGGAGAACAAAGATTTTTGAGGACATCCGACCAGCAAAGATTCTTGTGGCGGCACGCTAGCCGAGATTCTTGATGAGGCAGACTAGCAGAGATCCTTGAGGAAGCAGGCTAGCAGAGATCCTTGCGTAGGTTTGATAGCAGAGGTTCTTGAAGAAGGTAAGCTAGCAGAGATCTTTGTGGAGGCAGTCTGGCAGGGATTTTTGAGGAAGGCAAGCTAGCAGAGACTTTTCAAGAAGGTATACTAGCAGAGATCTCTGGGGAACGAGCCAGCATATGCTTTTCTTAAGAAAGCCGGCTAGCAGAAAAGGCTTCTTGCCGAAAGCAAGCTGGCAAAGATTTTTGAGGAAAGGATACTAGCAAAGATCCTTGGGGAAGCCAGCTAGCAGAAATCCTTGAGGACGGTGGTTTCATTTACTAGGTTGTACGCGAATCCATGGAGCTTTTCAAGATGGCATCACGAAACCGTCTTTTATTTATCTGATGCGGTATCCTTATACTCTGAAGTCAGCCTAACCTGTCCTTTTTTAAAAAGAAGATCTATCGTCTTTTTTCCCTCATTGTTGTAATTACTCTTTTCTGTACTTCCTTTTTTTCACGCACTTCTGGTTCTGAAGACCACCCGATAATTCTGGGAACCGAACGCCTATCTTGTTTGTCCAGGCCGGCGTATTCATGGCCCCCAGGTATTCGGATGAAAATTTCGGGTCGTCAGATAATTAGGCACCTCTTCTTGCTTAGATTAACTTGTTTTCGATCATTCGCAACTAAAAAGGGCTAATTTTTGTATAGAATTTCAAGTTGCTGCGGTACTCTACGCTACGTTGTTAAAATTTGTAGTTTGATGACCTATTCGTAGCTAATTCAGTAAGAAAACTATGTTTCGATCTCTCTCTCTCTCTCTCTCTCTCTCTCTCTCTCTCTCTCTCTCTCTCCCTCTCTCTCTCTTTCTCCGTACTCTGTGTGTACTCCAAGGGTTCGAAACCCGTGCCTGAGCTTCCTTATGGATATTTTTCTAATCTGACGCCTACAGTAGTGCAGGTGCATTTGCTAGCCGCTGACAATCGACGCTGAAAAACTAAGGTTGTTTTTATTTATTTTCACCTGCTGATCGTGTTTTGTCCCTCGGCACTGTTTCGGTTGTTCGAGCTCGAATAATTTTTGTTTGTCTAGGTTTCCCGTTTAGCAAAGATCACCATGGTTGTTTTACCAGAAAATCCCATAGGGTCGCGTGCCTCTATTCTCTCTACAGGGTGTCCCAAAAACCCCCCCCTACCTAGCGGTCTAGCGGTCCGCAGTCAAGTCCGATTTTTATGATTTAACTACTCATCGATAGCTCTCGAGAAGGCGAGAAAACAAGCGGGTCTCGTTTTCTAAGATTTATTCTAATTCCATCGATATTTAAGGTTTTTCTAAAAAAACTGGTACGTTTTCAACAGGAATTTCGCAATTAGCATGCAGATCCTGCACAAATTAGCAGTTTTTATGGTTTTTTGACGTAAAATTAGCGAATAAAAATGCATAATAAAAAAAATGAACCCTCCCTGTTTTCTCGCCTTTTCGGGAGCTGTCGATAGATACCTAAATCGTAAAAATCGGAATCGACTGCGGACCGCTAGGTAGGGGGGGTTTTTTTGGGACACCCTGTAGTGCTTACTAGCAACAGGCAACGCTTCATTTCAGCAAGTAATGTTTACCTATGTTAATATATAATTTTTCCTAAGCCGCGCGACGCATGATAAGACCAAAAAAAACATGAGAAAAACTCGCGGCCCGGAAATCGGGAACGCGCCAAGCCGCGCGCATTTCGGAAGCTATTTCATATCGCAATCGGTCTTCAGACTCGATTCTTTTAATAATCTTTTTAAGGCAGAAAGCCCGGAACGGTCTTTGCGGCGCAACCTATTATATCACGATTCTCGCAAATCCAGTGACTTTCCTTTTCATCTTTTTGCTATTTCTCTCCACCACCTCATTCTAATTCCAGACGCCCGTTCGTCTCATCGCTAATCCCACGTCGTCTCCATTCTCTTTTTTTCCGCAATCGAGACATCACTCAAAAATCCGCCCAAAACCCGCAAAAATTCACGGCGACCCGGTGGAGCGGAAATCAGGGTTGACCCGGCGCGTGTTAGCGGGGGTGACCTTTGAATTTGGACCACCCTCATGTAAGGCCAAATGCGTGCCGGCCCGCAATTTGTGATCTTTGCCCGGCGTTTTCAGCTGCTTCCCTGCTGGAGTCGGCTGAAAATTTGTCGTTTCCTATTTTTGTAGGTCACATGGGTTTTGGTCGGGGGCCCATTTTAAACGGACCAGGAAGCTAGGACCTTTTTTTAAAAATGACTTTTGGATTTGGTGCCGTAATCCATAATTATTGTATTTAAAGTAATAAATACCGGTAGGTCGTCATTAACTTTCGATTTTTTTAAAGGGAATTTGCTAGTATAATGTCGAAATCCATATTCTAGGAATTGATAATGGAATAAAATCCAAAATCCATCATAATCATAATTCATAATGCCAAACTTTTATAATAGCGAAATTTTTCGCCAAGAATTTGTTTTGATTTTCGAAACTTCCAATTAACACTTTAATCCAATAAAGGCCCTTTTGATAAGTTTTGTATAGTAATCCATTATTTAAATATATGATTACGCGACAAAATCCAAATCTCTCGATTTGTGATGTCGTAATTTATTTTCAAGTAAATAATTTACGGTTTTAAACAAATTTTGGTTCAAATTCAACGTCCAAAAAATGTTATTCGGTTTGGTGTTTGTGACGTAAATTTAGCGAATCCTGGATATAGATGCCAGGTTCTCAAAACTTTATTCTGGCGCTTCCTCGTACCTTTTGATTCCCAGATTTATACTTCCGATCCTTCCGTTTTTCCTTTCTTTCTGTATGCTTTCACAAAAATGAATTTCATGCGTTTTAATTGATTAATTATTTTAATTTTCCTCCCTTTCAGATGGACGAACGGAAGCGGACATTAATTCTGACAAACGCCGTGCTCTCCTTCTTCACCAACCTCGTCTTACTGTACTTTATCGCGCGTCACTCACGACGGCATATTAGTGGCTACAAGTTTCTACTCGCAATTTTTGCTCTATTCAATATTTGTTTTGCTGTTACGCAGGCGACCGTCCTACCTGTAAGTTGTTGGTGATCGGAATTTTTGTTCTAAGTAAATTACAAAAAATAATGGAGAGAAACATACATTTTTAGGCATTCCACGTGTATCGCTACGGGTGGATACTATTTCCGACGGGTAAATTATTCGCAGGGAGCCCGGAATGGGGATTTTGGTCATGTGCGGCGTATTGTATGGTGATAATTTGACTTTTGGAAGAGGGAGCGAGAGGGAGAGAAAGAGCGAGAGAGAGATAGAGAGGGAGAGAGAGAGACTGAGCCCGTTAGCATTTACCTCTTTTACAGATGTACAACCTCTGCCTTGTTCTCCTCACATATCACTTTGTATATCGATTTGTACTGATTTGCCGGTAACTATACGCCATTATTTTAAAATGATTAATACCTCTTTCAGTGAAGAATCTCATCATCACCTACGAAGCCGCCCAATTTGCATATTGCTTTTTATTGGCTGGCTTTTGAACGGGGTTCTCTGGGGCGTCGTCTGTCGGGTGACGATGTATCAGTGGAAGGAAACTCGGGTAATATGAACACTCATGCTTTTAGGTGGATTTTTTACCCGCTTTGTCGCTTATTTTACGAACTTTTGGGTAAATTTGAAGCCTGGAAATTGCAGCGTTTTGGGATAGCAGCGTTTCTTTGCCGATCTTTTTATACCTCTTTTTTCAGGACTATATGCAATTTTCCTTGCTGAATGAATACGGGCTAGATTCCGCGGCCACGCCGATGTTGGGCCCGATATATTTTGTAAGTTTTCACCGGTTTTCTGGAAGACAACAAATTTCAGTTCGACAATCCGGACGGTACGAGACGGACGAATTGGTTGTCCTGTCTGGGCTCTTTTTATTGTGTCTCGCTGATGACGGGCTGTTTCTCGTAAGTTGTAGTTTGTAGAAATTCATATACTAAATTGTATTTAGTACAACTAAGAATTAAAATAATTTTAGGACGATCCTTTACTGCTCCAGAAAGATTGACGCTGTCCTATGGAAAAGCCGGATGAGCGAGCGGGCCCGGCGACTTCAGAAGGATCTTTTTAAAGCTTTGTTAATACAGGTAACGAAGCCAAAATTTATTGATAAGCCGATAGATTTAGCTCATCGTTCCCGGAATCTCTAAATTCTTGCCCGGGACCTGTATGTTCACGTTTCCGCTTTTTGGTAAGTTTTTAAATTCAGCTAACATTACAATTTTTTGCCAGATTTGCAAGTAGTTGCGTATTTTGCTTTTAGAGGAAAGGTGTAATCAGGCTAAGCAAAAATTTAATGTAATTTAATTAAACAAAGATCCTCTAAGCGAAAAACGGCTACTTATTGATATAACCAAAATTTAAATTTTTTAATAGTAACTCTTGATAGTTACACTTTTCCACTTTGATAGTTGAGGTTTAAAAACACAAACGCCTAACTGTTACAAAACATTAAACTCAAAAACTTGTTGCGAGCACGCCTCATACCAAATCTCTTTTTCATCGCCTTCACGTGCCATGGATTCTCGCCTTGCAAGCTCCTTAAAATCACGATTTTGTTTCTTATATTTATTTTTGGTAAGAGTTTACTTTACCCCCCCCCCACAGCCGAAGGGTCTCAAAGTTGTCGGTATTTTCGCTTATTTTGTCGGGATTTTCGCAACGCCATTCGATAGAGCGTCGAAAAATATACTAAGAGTTTTAATATGAGCCTACAATAATGTAAAATAAAAAAGTTATAGCCAAAACATTCCGGCTGGGGGGGGTAAAGTAAACCGTAGCCTTATTTTTCCTTTTCAGGCCTAAACACGGGAAAACTGGCCAACTACGCAGCAGTGCTCGCTTCCTTTAATACCGTACTCGAACCGATATTTCTACTGTATTTCGTCAAGGACTACCGCTACGCGATATTACGGCTGGCTGGGTTGGTATATTGAATTATTTCCTATACGCTGATAGATTTCAAAATATGCTGATTTTTGCAGCAAACGTGATAGCAGCGGAACGTACTACATCTCGGAGACGGGCGAGAAGATTGAGCGCAGTCTCACGTATTCCCAGAAACCGATGTCGCCGAGGACGGCGACAATGTTGTGATATTTCTGATTTTCTAAGGTCCTATTTTCGAGTATTTTATGCTAATTTGCATGACCTGCCCATTGGTGATCTCATTCCTTCGCTTCTTTGCTCAATTTAGGCTTCAATTTATCAAAATTCCGACAAAGAAGCACATAAATTTTTGTGACTTGCAATTCTTTTTAAAACAGCAACAATTTTCAAAGAATTTTGTGAATCACCGTTTCTGTAAATTAAAATAACGCCGTCCAGTTTCTATCCTTGTTTTAACTGTAATTTTAATTTGATTCAGATTTTTTAAAATTTGTCGAGAGCGCTTAAAAGGCCGTCCGCCAGTCACTCGAACAGGCCCCATACTAGCTTGGCACAGTTTTTTTCGACTCCTTTTTTATGACGCCATCTGAAAGAGCATGGTCGAATTAGTAGAGTGGGATGGTTTTGAAAGTTTTAAAAGTTTAATTTTGAGGTTAAAATGGGCCTCAAAGTTGCCGACACCGAAAAAATATATCGAAAACTACTGAACAGAATTTGCCGAAACTTTGTGAAAATCCCTAATTTGGGTCGGGGAACATTTTTCTAATACATCGCGAAACCAGAAAGTGGCCGGAACATAGGTATCTTGCGTACTAAAAACACTTTTTTCGGAATTAGTAGTTTTACGGGTGATCGCTGCATCAAGCGATTAGTGCCAAAAGATGCACCGAAATTTTCTCTATCGATTGATGTATCTTTTAGAATGCAGCGAGCACCCGTAAAAACCGAAAAATCGTCCTGAATGGGTCGCCAAAGCGTCAATTTCGGCCATTTTGGTGAAGAATTCCTTGTGGGGATAGGCTAGAGTAGGCGAGATAGTGGGGGAAAGTGAGAGAGTGGCCTCCGGGGGCCGATTAGGCTGCAGGCCTGTTCGGCTGTCGCGTGGTGCATTGGTAGTGGCGGGGGGATCCTTGCGCCGGGGCGCCTCTAGATCAATCCCAGCCTACCTTTAGAAAGCGAATTTCTTTTGCTCTTTTTTGCAATTAACCGAACTCGGGCTATAGAATCATAACCATGTCAATCCATGAAATATTTGCCAAATTTGGTCTTCCGGCGACCCATTCAGGACGATTTTTCGGTTTTTACGGGTGCTCGCTGCATTCTAAAAGATACATCAATCGATAGAGAAAATTTCGGTGCATCTTTTGGCACCAATCGCTTGATGCAGCGATTACCCGTAAAACTACTAATTCCGAAAAAACTGTTTTGAGTACGCAAGATACCTATGTTCCGGTCACTTTCTGGTTTCGCAATGTATTAGAAAAATGTTCCCCGAGCCAGATTATGGATTGTCACAAAGTTTCGGCAAATTCTGTTCAGTAGTTTTCGATACATTTTTTCGGTGTCGGCAACTTTGAGGCCCATTTTAACCTCAAAATTAAACTTTTAAAACTTTCAAAACCATCGCACTCTACTAATTCGACCATGCTCTTTCAGATGGCGTCATAAAAAAGGAGTCGAAAAAACTGTGCCAAGCCTTGTTCGGGTCTCTCGCAAACGGCCTTTTAATACGGGACATTCTCGGGTGCGCAAATCCTGCTCAAGTCTCGGTCTTAAAACGAAATAAAAACATTTTTTTATTGGATCAAATATTCACGAGTATGACGCCAACGCGGGCGCCGGGATCAGGACGACTAGGGAGTCGAGCGGAGCGGGACCACAGCTCTTTCCCAAGAAGTAGATGCCTGAAAAAGCAAAGGTTTAGCGCAGGCCTGGCTTCGGCCTAGCTTGGTCGTGGCTTAGGCTTGGCTTAAGCCCAGGCCCTAGGCTTAGGCTGAGGCTTAGGCTTAGTCTGGGGCATGTGCTTAGGCTTAGGCTTCGGCCCAGGCTTAGGCCCAGGCTTAGGCCCAGGCTTAGGCCCCAGGCTTAGGTCCAGGCTTAGGTCCAGGCTTAGGTCCAGGCTTAGGCTTAGGCTTTGATTTAACGTTAAGCTTATAATGGCCGAAAATTTTTTACCGCGCGTTTTACTTACCCAAACAGAAAGCCATAAAGCCCGTCGTGAAGGCCATGCACTTCGCCTTGTCCTCCTGCAAGATTTTTTGGTCGGAATTTTTTCTATTTACATTTATTTAATTTCGAAAACCGGGTTTTTGGTGTTATTATAAATCGAAATATTCGAACATTGAGCCACTTACGAAATCCGTGGTTCTCGCAACAATGAGCGCGATCATCGGGCAGAAGAAGACTACGATGAGGATGAAGAGAATTGCATCGAGAGCCTCTATGTCTCTTGTCTGAAATTGAAGGTCGAAATTGCATAGTCCCCACACTTCATAAAAGTGCAATTTTTGTATGATATTTGAGAGAATTTTCAAAGATTGGTTAGTGTAAATTTCGAAATCAAAAATGCCGACCTCGCGTATTTCGATATTATGGAAATTCGACATTACGCGATTTGAGCACTCTTAAATTTCGGTATTATAAACGGTCGACGTTATAAAATAAGATGTTATCAAAATTAGTCATTGTGAATTTCAGCATTTTGACGACCACGACACTATGAAAAATTCGGCGTAATGAAACTTCCAAAATATGAAATATCGACATTAAGAAGTTCATGAGTATGAAATTTGACATCATGAAATAACGAGATTACAAAATTTACGACATCATGAACCTCGGCAGTTCTGAATCTCGAACTTGTCGGGGCATTCAACATTAGCAAAATTCTAAATTACGAAATTTAAACATTATTACGTCGAAAAACTTTTGAAATTCAACTTTGAGAAATTTCGACATTTTGACATTTCGAAAATAAGAAATTTCGACATTAAGGTTATCGGTAATTTTTTTAAATTACTATGCAAAACTTCAGCTTGCGGCTACACCTACCTCGCACCATTTCACCTCCGCCGGCAGCTGTACCTCGTTTTCTTTCTGCAGTCCGAGCACTGAATTGTTGTTGGGTGGGCCTGATCAACAGCTCCTACCAGCCAATTCCGCTCGCTCGCTGAGGCTGAAGGTCTCGTGGATCACCAGCGTCGGGCGGATCGGGCTGCGGTACGGGTCTTCTTGGCCACGACTAAATTAGGTTCCGTCAAATTTTTGACGTTAAATTTTCAGGGAAAACTACGAAAAAACTGTAAGCGCACGAACCTGGCAGCCAAATACATTTCGCAGTAGCGGGCGACGCGCTCCCTCATCGCCATGATAAGCTGAAAGTTCTAATAAGTCAGGTATTAGTTCATATACCCATTTTTAATTTCTTAATTTATTTAATTTTTAAATTAACGTCAGCAATTTTTAATTTCTTAATTTATTTAATTTTTCAAGTTAAAAGGGCCACCTGCAACGCCAGACTTAAATTATTGGGTCTTTCCCAATATCGGGGAGGGGGAGGTTTATCGGGGGAAAGCAATTTTTTTTCCAAAAAAACCAGAAACGCTTAGGAAATGCTTTTAGTAGAATTTAACCAATGTTAAATGGATAAACATTAAAAAAAACGCAGCAGAAGCTCTTAGGTGAAATTTTAGTCGAAAATAGGTCTTTTTGGTCGAAAAATCCATATTAATCGCGGATTTTTAATAAAGACCAGCGCCCAAAACCCGCTTCGCGGGCCTGGGGCGCTGGAATGTGGCTTTTGCATGAGAAATTTGCCTTCCCGATAGCTCGGGTCCTTCGAACCCCCTCCCCCCCGTCCGACCACACGCGCGCGTGCAACTTGCAAGAATCAGGAAATTTGTATTTTTCACATTATGCAAATTAGCTTTCAGGGACCCCCAAAAATGAATAAAACCGGCTCTAACTTTGTAAACTTGTATTTTATCGAAATTCTGAAAAGGCGATCGGAAACAGAAGGGTCGATTCCCCCAAGTGACGGAGAATTGGGACCTTTTTGGCCACCAGAAGGCCCTCAAATCGGGTCTCGAAACTGACATCCACACACACACACAAAGATACACGCCAAAATGATATAAGGTAGGATTTGCAAAAATTTTGGTCCAGGCAAAAGGAAAAAAAGATGACAAGCTTGCTACATAAACTCGAATGACTCGGCTATTTTCCGAAAAACTGGAATTATATTGATGGTTGACTGCAAATGGCATCTCGGGCCGGGTGAAGTGACCTCGCGCTCGCATCCTATCAGGGATATGCCCTCGGGTTATGTAAACATTACTTTTCGGGCCTGCATAGCCCTGTCTAGCTCATCCTAGTTCATCCAACGATCACCTAGAGTACCCGCCGCAATTTTCTGAGATGTCAGGTAATATTTCCTGCTTTCGAAAGGGACATTATGGCAGGCAACGTATTTTCCAGCGTTTCAAAGCTAAAAAAAATTAAAAATATGCTTCCACTGTTTTAAAGACTCAAAAACACGCCTGCCAAGCGTGAAAAGCCAAAATATATTTCAGAAATTGCGAATCGCATTTTTGGGCGTCACGTAGACACGTTCAACGCTGCCACGTGAGTGCTCTTCAAATCATTGAACTGAACGTGAACTCTATTTTTTTTCCTTAAAGCGCACGTTCAGGGAGGGGCCGTGTACTCGTCCCAACGTGTACACCCTATGGACGTAGGGACCGCGGGCACTGCCTGCTCGTGGCGTGGCAGGCAATTCCCCTCCTTTGCGGCCTGGGGCGCCCCTAGCCCCCTTGCCAGGTTGTAGCTGTGGCTGACTGGTATGCGACCGCGTCTCCCGAGCGGGAGGCCCGGGTTCGACCCCCGGCCGCGGCAAAAATCTTTGCTTTTTTTCCAAAAAACGCCCTGAACGCGCCCTTTAAGGAGCAGGATCAGGTACGCGATATGTTCCCGCCTAATGCGTATCTCGTTCTCTCTCTCTCTCTCTCTCTCTCTCTCTCTCTCTCTCTCTGCCTCTCACCTAGAGAACCGTCGTTTACAGAGCTTAGTTTTTACATCTACTAATTTTATTTAAATCCTTCTTTTTTAGAAAAGCCAACCGGCAAGCCGCTGTGATCTTCGAAATCGATGGCATAACCAACAAAAGGGGTTTGGAAGGTATATTTTGGACCGGCAATTTAAACTGTATAACTAATGAGTCACTGTAATTTATGATAACTATTTTATTATAAACTATAAACTAATCGACTGCTATGCCCGAATTTAGCTCTTGAGGCGAAGCACATCGTCGTGCGCTTCAAACCCGAGGCACCCCCATTCGTTTTCCGAAGCGATGACGACTTTGTGGTAAGGCGAAAGGTCGTGAAGTACCACAATTAAAATTTGTTATTACGAAGATATTAGGCTTTAATTAAAAAATTATTTCATATTTAGGAGCCGCCAATCCGGGTGGAAAAATGGCGCTGGTTTCCGTTCGTCGTCACGGTGCTGACGCTTCGCTTCGCCATTCTGCGGGCAATTGACGAGCACGATTTGGTGAGTAGAGTTTTTGTTTTTCCTGCCCTGTTTCTCTGGAATAAACCTTAAAAAAATGGTAATATTGAAAATTTAAGGGAAAGCGTCTGGTATACATCTGGGGCATCTTACTGCTACTGCCGATTGCTTGGGGTGAGTTATCTTAGACCAATATCAGCATAGATTTGTAGGTCTCATTTTTTGGCTGAACATGGACCGCCGGAGTTACGCCCGTGGCCCACCAAGAACCAACGATATTCGTGTCGTGTTTATGTAGATTTAAGTTATACCTTTCCCTCTTTATCACTTTCTTCCTCTCCTCTCTCTCTCTCTCTCTCTCTCTCTCTCTCTCTCTCTCTTCTCTCTCTCTCTCTCTCTCTCTCCTCTCTCTCTCTCTTTCTCTCTCTCTTCCTTTGGTGCGTTTTCGATACTCAAATGCTGACAATATCAATTTATGCATTTTTTTTATCGATAAACTCGTCGTCAGCAAGATTTTCCCTGAGAAAAGGCATAGTAAAAATACAAATCGCTATTTTCAATGCTCAAGGCTCTTCCCAGTCACCAACGAGCGCCACCAGCACCCTGGGATTTCTTTTTGGACTTTGCATCGACTTCCGGCTTGAAATCCATGTTTTCGCCTATGGTCCGGATTTATTTTTGCTTGCAAAGAAGGTTCTAATAAGCGTTTATTCAGTTAACTTTTTATCAGGAAAAACGACTAGGGGTAAAGCAGCCGTCCCGCATCATTTTCAATTTATATTCTAGGGATCGACTCCGACAAAAACCTATGGAAAATGCAGTATAGATTTTATTTTTGTTGTATCTTGAAAATTACTGTAGCTGGCGGGCTATAACTCAGGATTGTGGTTATTCACGGACTTACACACGTCTGGACCAATTTTGGGACCGATCGGATGTAATGCGGCGATAGCCGGAGGGGTGATTTTTTGGGACACCCTGTAGTATTTGTAGTATGTATTGTAATCGTTTATCTGTATTTTTAGGTCTTGTCTTTTCGCTCAACCTCTCACGACTCAGCTACGCCTACGAAAAGGCAAAAACACAATGGATTCATGTCGTGTTTATGTGAATAGCCATAATTTTTGATACTGCTCTTTTTCAACTTTCTCTTCCCTCTACCTCAAGTGTATTTCTTTTGAAGACAGGGCGAAAAAATCAGGAACTTCATTAGTTTTCATCTGTCTTGATCAGCTCTTTATCATTGTATTTTGTTTTGCATATATATACACTTTGTACAGTTTTTATTGTCACTGATTAACAAATAAGAATGTGGTTTGCCGTCTACATCGACTTGTTTTTATTTTTTAAATTGATACAACTTAATAAAACACAAAAATCCTCGACAAAATACAAAACAAGTGCCCAAATTTTTATATTTTTTGCGATATTCAAATCAGCACCGCCAGAAGGTTGCCACGGCTAGGCCACCGACAATGAGTCATCGCCACGTAGCCTGGAAGTGAGTTTAATCCGGGAAAAATTCCGATGTTTAGGTTTTAAATATATTATTGAATTTTATTTATTGGAACCAAAAATCTAAATAATTAACCAAAAATATTGAAATCCTACATTATATAATTTGGTCGCGTATCTTTGTCTGTGTGTGTGTGTGCGGAGGTCAGTTTCGAGGCCCGATTTGAGGGCCTTCCCATGTTCAAAACGCCCCAATTTTTTGTCACTCGGGGGAATCGACCTTCCTCTATCCGATGGTGTTTTCAGAATTCCGATAAAATACGATTTTACAAAGTTAAAGGCGATTTTATTAATTTTGGAGGTCCTGGAGGCCTAATTTGCATATTGTAAAAAAATAAAAATTTCCTCATTCTTGCAAGTTGGTCGGGACAGGGAAGGGGGTCCGAAGAACCCGAGCTATCAGAAAGTCAAACTTTTCATGCAAAGGCCGCATTCCAGCGCCCAAGGCCCGCGAAGCGGGTTTTGGGCGCTGGTTAATTAATAAATCGAGTTTTTAAAACTCGATAGAACTTACCTCCACATATCAGCAAGGGAAACGTGAACAACGTCAGCGCTTCGGCCTTGCGCCTCTGAATGTAAATTGTAACAGTAGTTTTTTTGGAACACTATTGAATAGGATAAAAAAAAGATCTCCCTCTTCATAATTTACCAGGGTTGAAAAGCCGCTTCGCGACTTTTCAACCCTGGCCCCGTCCAACCCTATGATATCCTTCGCTTTGCATAAACCTTCCGCATTTTTATGTCAAAAATGAAAGCGCGTCCTCTCCCCGATTATATAGGCTACTCCCACTTCCGGCACATGCTATTTTTTTCCTAACAAAGAGGGTGTCCGATTTTTCAGGAAAAATTTAATTTTAATGTCGAAAACAATCTATTTTGAAAAATCTGATATGCGTGCAGGCATCTACAGGCCATTACGCATCTAATGACGTATCATACACCCCATTAATCCCGTCCCCTCTCGAGATATCCTCCGGACACGCTGACGGCAGTTGCATGCAAAGTGTCATACACACACAGACACTATTTTTTTATATATAGTAGGATTATTGTAAACTCAAATTAAAACTCTTAGAGTACTTTTCGACTCTCTATCGAATGCCTTTGCACAAATCCCGACATAATAAGCGAAAATACCGAAAACTTTGGGACCCATCGGCTCTGGGGGGAGTAACGCGGTAAGGCAATCCGCAAAAAAAGGCCTGGTGGAGGCCCCACTTCGACGCTTCGGTTCGGATCTGGATCCGGTCGATCGTCAAGAAGAACAGACAGGATGCACGTGCAATAAACTATCGAGCCGATAAACAAGCCGATCTCCACGTATATCTTTGGCTGCGGCTGAAAATCGGTGATATCTCTTTCTCTCTCTCTCTCTCTCTCTCTCTCTCTCTCTCTCTCTCTCTCTCTCTCTCTCTCTCTCTCTCTCTTTCTCTCTCGCTCTTTCTCTCTCTCGCTCTCTCTCGCTCTCGTCCTATCTCGTCCTCTCTCTCTCTCTCTCTCTCTCTCTCTCTCTCTCTCTCTCTCTCTCTCTCTCTCTCTCGTCCTCCCTCGTCCTCTCTCGTCCGCTCTCGCTCTTTCGTCCTCTCTCGTCCTCTCTCTTTCTCTCTGCTCTCGCTGGTATTATAGACATAACCCTTGTAACGCCTTCGACTCACCCGCGCCTTCCATCGCACTTCCGGTCCCGTTGATATAAGTCGGCCTGGTTGCGCAAGAGCTAAGTTTCAAGTGCCTTTGAATGGTGCAATTGCTGCTTACCAGCTAGTGCTGCTCGATCCGCTGCGCTGACCACCTCGCGTATGACTAGAGGATCATGCCTGGAGTTCCTAAAAAATGTTGGTTGCTAGGGCGAGAGATATAGAGGGAAAGGGAGAGAGAGCGAGAAAGAGCGAGAGAGAGAGAGAGAGAGAGAGAGGAGAGAGAGAGAGAGAGAGAGAGAGAGCTGGAGAGAGATAAATAGAAGTCGGGACCGCCAGGAATTATATACCATCTTACGTCCCTTACCTATGTTCTTGATACATCTCGGCATAGCGAGCGATCAGCTCCGTCATGTTTGACCACCCGCTAAAAACGAGGCTGAAAACTTAAATAACGAAGCAGAAATCAATCTTTAGCTGAAAAAAAAAATCAATAAATCGCCAGTAGAAAAGGATGCTGCCCAAAAATGACGGCGCAACATTCTCGATATAGCCCGGGGCAATTGCAATGGGCGCCAGATGGTGCGCGCGCAATGGACACGAGGGTCTGAGGGGGTTTTTGCGGTTTGTGTGCGCGCTTCAGCCAAGATCCACGCTCTATATAGCCATCATTTTGCCAATGCCATCACCATATTGATTTTTCACCATATTGATCGCTACATCGAGTCCGGAGAGCTATGGGGTCAGTCAAATTTTTGTGTATTAGATAAAATGTCTTGCATATTGATTTTCTTCCTCATTTTTTTTGTACGTCCCAGCAGCCCTGCTGAGATTTCAAAAAAAAATCGCCTAGATCAGAGCACCAAGGCATTCAGAAAAAATTTTGGGATGGCTCAAGCTTTTTAAAAATGATAAAAACCGGGCAGATTTACGATGTTTGCTCTCTGGACCCCAAATTCAACCCAAATTTATGAAGGGGAATAAGTCACAGAACCCTATTTCAAACACCTGTAAGATATCACTCATGGCCTGGACGCATTAATGAAATACATACATCCATAAAACCAGAAAAATGTCGATCAGGTTGGCTGGTTAAATTGCATAGAATTATTTACTTTGTAAAAAGAAAAACGTTCGGTTCGGTTTGCCTGCGACGTTGATTTTGCTCGGTTTTCGAAAAAATTTATTTGCGGCGCATCAGCTTCGAAAATTGCAATATTGCTGTCATTTTCAGTAAAAAAAATTTTGCAGAGCAGTTCTCGCACGTGCACGTACTCGAAACAGCGCCCCACCGCGATGGCGGGGACCACAGCCGGGCGGTCGGGTTGCCGGCTTCGTGGAGTTGTACTACAACCGCGTGTGGGTACCAAATTTTTTTGGGAGGTAGTTTTATATTTTTCCCAGTTTTTGAAAAATGTGATGGCCTTATTGGGGTAACTTTTTCACTTCTCTATCGAACGGCGCTGTAGAACGTAAAAAAACACCCGAAAGAAATGGAAATTTTGAAATCCCTAAGCTGGGTTGCAAAGCAGCCTCTGCCCTTTTCTAGAAGAAACCCCCGCAGCACTCCGGTGGTGATTTTTGAGATTGTGGATGTTGCCGAAAACAATCTGCCGGGTGACGGAAAGGACTTGCAAGGTAAGACGACATTTTTTTGCCGGAATTCTGGGATTTTTTTTGCTCGTTCTTCTACATTTTTGCAACACTCTCTCTCGCTCGCTCTCTCGTTCTCTTTCTGTCTCTCTCTCTCCCTCCCTCCCTCTCTCTCTCTCTCTCTCCCTCTCTCGCTCTCTCTCTCTCTCTCTCACTCTCTCTCTCTCTCTATCTCTCACCCTCTTCTCATCGACAAATCCTCAGAAATCTGGGAGATTTTTTTTGTTAGACACTGAAATCCTCGAATTTGTATAGATCGACTTGACCTGACTTTTAAGACCTGTCGTGGAATAAGACGGTGGTCAGGCTGAGGCCCGAGCGATGCCCGTGCGACGAATTGCATGAAGGTGATTTTAAGGTAAGCCGAGATCGAGCGGATGTGATGTCAATATAAATAGGGGAATTCATTATGTCGGAATTCCGAATTGTGATAATTAAAAAGTTGCGCCTGCATTGTTCCTGTAAATTAGTTTTTAGGAAGTTTCGACATTAGGAAATGTTGAGGTCATGAAAATAAAATTATGAATTCTGACATTTTGAGAAATTAAGGATCTCAACGCTATTGAATTTTGGCATTTCTAATCTACCCTTCGTGTACTAGGCCTAATTCAGGTGCATCAAATCTTTAAAAAAAATTTGAATTCATATGAATTTTAATTTTTTGCAGGGTCCGCCAATTCTAAAGGAACCGTGGCGATGGCTTCCTCTTCTCTGCGCTGTAATATCAATCTGCTGGACGTGCAGGCTGACCGTTAACGCGGAGGAGATGGTAATTCTTGAAAAATGTTGGAACATATTTGCTAGGTATTTCTAACCTGTGGTCTGCTACTATTCCCAAGCGTCGAAACCCACAAATTTTCTGAGAGCCAGAGAGTCGAGAATTTGGGTCCCAATTTCCTATCGAAAACAGGGCTATTTTTTAGGAAAAACTCCTGCTAAACCTCTGGGGGTCCGTCTTGCTGCTACTCCTGGCAGTCGGTAAGTTGGCATACGGTAGATTGTTCAACAAATCACGTTTTGAGGCCTGATCTTTTGTGGCGATTTGGCTCGGCTGCGCCAATGGCGTCGACACCGGAAAACCTATGATATTGACGTGATTTTGATGTAAACGTAATTTTAATTCTACCTTATAAATAATCCTATCGTATTGCCAGCTTGGAAGTGCCAAAAATAACTTAAAACTTGTGTTTATCGTTTCAAAAAAGGGGACAGGCTTTTGCTTCGGCTTCGAATCGCGATCCTTAAACAACTTTGCGCAGTTTTAAATGATAAAAATTGTTGCAATTGCTGAAAATCACAAAAACGTGTTAGAACACATGGAGAATTTTTACGTAAATTAAAAAACTTTCTCTAACAAGAATAATACAACACGACACGCTTTTTTTGAAATGGTGCCAATGACCATTTCCCAGTTTCCTTTCCTTCCAGATTCCGAAAGTTTCCGGGTGTGGATAGCATGTTCGGATGAACTCGGCGTACTTTCCCTACTTCCGCCCATATCTATTCCCCGATCAAGGAAGCCGTTTGTCACCTGGTGGACGCAATTTATTCGTTTTTTCGGCTCTGCCATTGTCACCACATCGGGTGCGAGCACTCAAAAAGGCATCTTTTAAGGGAACAATTTGTCATTATCATTGTCAAAATCCGAATTAGGCAATTGTCAGTTCTCGGCGTTGATTGAGGACAAAAAGACGCAAAACTAGAAGTCAAGAACTTCCTCCGAGAAGTGGCTGAGAAAAGTCACGTATTTTAGGGCGGTAGAGGAAAAAAATGGCTTCTCTTGTTCAAGCGACCGGAAGTTAAGGAGCTCTATGAGAAAGCGTAGAAAAAAAATTAACAAATTTTGTATACCTCTTTTCATAATTCGATGGCTACTAGAGGCTACGTTATGCTGCTATTTACTAGAACTTTGCAAAAGCCCTCTGCCGGTTCGCACCCTAAACGACCATCGCGCCTTTTTGTATACCTCGTTAGCGCGGATTTATGGGGGTGCTGGTTAGCGCATCAAGCCACACCACGGTCACCTCACGATACGATTTTTGTTCTGCTTCCGCAAAAAAGGCTTGATGCTCTTAAGAGAATCAGGAAGGTTCTACAGGGTGTCCCATAAAAAGCACCCCTCCGGCATTTTGCCATATTACATCGGTCGGTCGATCGGTCCCAAAATTAGACCCTAAATAACCACAATCCTGACTTATCGCCCGCCATCTACCGTAATTTTCGAGATACAACGAAAAAAAACTTGATTATTTGTTTTTCATAAGGTTTCCGTCGGAATCGACCCTTCGATTATTGAGTGAAAATAAAACGGCAAGCCTTCTTTACCCCTAGAAATTTTTCCTGTTAAAAATTAATCAAATAAACGTTGATTTCAACAATTTTTGCAACCGAAAGTCACCCCCGATATTAAACGAAATTAGGGATTCGCAGCCGGAAGTTGATGCAAATCGATGCAAAGTCCAAAAAGATAGCCGAAAAAACAGATAAGAATCGCGTGAAAAATATTATTTTGGCGATAACTCGAAAACCACTGTAGCGATCGGGCTATAACTCAGATTGTGGCTATTTAGGGTCTGATCCCTTTTGAAAAGTATGGGACCTATCGGATGTAATACGGCGAAATGTCGGAGGGGTGCTTTTTTGGGACACCGGTAGCTTCCCAGGTTGGAATGGGGATTAGAGATCATCAAAATCGGACATGGCGCCGCCGAATTGCGGCCCTTGAGATTCGGGTCATTGTTTCTGTGCTTTGTTTTTGATGTCAGTCGATAGAACATCGAAAAACGTGCTGAAAACTTATTTTACATCAAATAAGCTAATTTAAAGAGGTCATAGCAATTACAAGGCTTAAAGGGATGCCGACGGCATAGACAATCGATTACGCGCGGAAAAGAAAATGTCTCTGCGCCTCTCCCCAGGGCGCGCTCTCTCCCCTGTTGGCTACTTGCCAATTTGTTGATGAGGGGGGATCGACACATGCCGTCGGCAGCCCTTTAAACGGGGTTTCCACATATCAAGAATGCAGCGGCATCCCAGTTTTTCGCTATTTTCCCCAATTTTGCTAATAAATAAGACTAGTTAAAAAAAGCGCTTGAAAAAATAGACTACAAGCTTGGGTTTCAGCCGAACTAGACTAAAAAACTAAGTTATGGCAAAAACAAGCAAAATCCACAAAACTGTTTTAGCACGGTCAAACACATTAATGTTTCAAAAAACACTATTAATGTAATGAATTTTCAAATTTTTTTTGTTGAAATTCTGACGATAGCCGTGAACTAGTGCTACCCATTTAATTGTAAAAATTTTTAGAAAAACCTAGTTTTAAAAAATTTGGCACCCACGGCGGGGGTAAAGAAAACTCGTAGCTTATACTCGAACATGCCAATATCGTTTTTTCTAAATGTATGTGACGTTGATATGATTCCTTTCCCGCACACCTTCCGTTCTGCAACTGTTGACTTTTGGTGCTATTTTTCCCGAGGTTCAATTTTGACCTTCACCCTAACCACTCAACCACCTTCCTCCTCGGCTCTCACCACAAAAAGGCACTAATTGGCATCAGAGTCGAGCTCCCTGGTGAAGGGTAAAACTGATCGCGCCCATGTTTCGAGAACTTAGCACAACCTTGTCGCAGACCCCCCAGGGGTGAAATGGAAAATGTTGTGCCCCCCACCCCGCAAGCTTCAGCGCCAAAAAAAACCCGAGTTTGGCAGCGGGCCGACGGGGCGGAGAAGATCGCGGACAAGGGACGATTTACGATAAGCATAGCCTGGAGGGTATATAGCCGCCGCGCAGAGAACGCGACGGCTGCCCCTGGACTGGGTCCGCTTTTCCCTTTCCGGAATGCACCAAAGGGCAAGATCGCCGGCTGGGGGGTTTGTGTTTTCATTCGGCTGGCAGCAGTGTGCGAGTTTTTCGATGGGCTGGCATGTAGGTCTTTTTTGCGCCCTAAAAAGCAATTGATGCGGTCGTTTAGAGCTTTTTTTCACGTATGTTTAGGCTGCGACTTAGGCTTAAGCTTATTCCTAGACCTAAGATGACTCTTTATCCCTCTCAAGTAGCGGAATTCCATCGGAAAAACTCCAAAAAACCCATCTTTGCAACGGCTTGAAAGTGCATTTCAGGTGCTAGATCTAGATTTTTTCCAACTTTTGGTGCTTGTAAAAGTTAATTGATGCCTTAAGTACATTCGTGAATGCGAAAATCTGAAAAAAAACCGTGCTCACGAAACGTAGCCCGCCGCTAACGCTCGAAAGTACGTTCAAGCTAAAAAAATCAATTCCTTAGTCGATTTCTGCACCTTCGATCATGTCCATAAGAAACCGCAAAAATCGGAACTTGCCGTATATTAGCATTTCCAGTGTCCTACTGTTTCCCATAATTCCATTTTGTGCCAAAGTCTTTGGTGTTTTTGGGCAGACATTTTTGGTGTCCAGTGCACTGTGCAAAAAATGCTATCATTTACCTTATTCCGGAAATCCTCGCCTTGACTTTTGAGCATGTATTGACAATATATCTTTTCTAAGGGCATATTCCAAAGCTAACGTTTTTTTCCTAAGCACCGTTACCGGGGAAATCCATGGGTTTCGGGGGCCGATTTCCGGTTTCTGGGTGACCTTGCTGCATCCCAGAGCTGTTGCGGTACTTGAATGAGCCGAGATGCTCTTAGAAAAAGCCCTAAACCATGCCCGTATAGTGCAGCTTTTTGCACTTTTTTAAGAGGCTCCAACTCTCCCTGGCGTGTTACATCAAGTACCTTTTTACAGTTTCTGGATCCTGAATTTTGATCGTTATTCTTATCCGCGGTGTTTCCGCGAAAATCATCGCATTTTTACGGTATCGTAGCCTATTTAAGCACCTCTTTAATGCCGTTCAAACATGTGCTTTCAGATTTTACGGCGCGTCCCAGAAATATCGGACTCGCGTAAGTACGCCACAAAATCACCCCCAGACAGGCCGATTTCTGCGCTTCTCCGTACACCATTTGGAACACCGCCATAAAACACGGTGATTGGTCTGTGAGCGCGTGTCTTTGCACTGTGGTTTGCCTCAAAACGAGCTTCCTCGTTTTTCATCGTGACCTTTCGAAACTTCTTTGTCGCTCCTCCGCCTAGATTTGCCCGTTTTGATCCGCGTCACCCCATTGTTCGGCTGATCCGGGCGTGCGAAACCCGCCGGCTCCTGGATACCAGTTTAGGTCAGCGCATCGATTTTTTTTAAGTAGGATCCAGCGCTGACCCCCCGCTACGCGGGGGTTCAGCGCTGGCCTCCCCGCCCCCTCACAATTAGATGTCAAATGTCCGTCCGACCCCGCCGGCGGTCGGACGGACATTAGAAATTTATATATAGTAGATCGTGTTGAGAGTTTATCCATTGTTATTTTGATATGGATCGAGGAAATCGAATTTGTCTACCTTTCGCATTTATCCAAGGTTTGGACATTACCAAAAGCCTCAGAACTATACATTTCCGCATATTTTCTGACTCTCTTTTCTTCTTCTTGCTCTTACTCACATGACTTTCTACATATTTCTTAAGAACACTTTTGAAGGGTTCTCCGTGTCTCCCGATACGCTACCTTCACTCATTTTCCACTTTCTTGTTGCTTTGCTCTGCTTCTAATCTTCTAATGTTACTTTCAACGTATGCGTTTTCCAATTCTATCCAAAACCCAAACATTTTTTAGCATGAATCAACGAACACTCCTATTATTTGCTGCTATATTTTCCTTAGTTATGGCCAGGAGTAAATTTGAGTAAGTTTTTCCAAGGAAAGAATCGTGTTTTGCAGAATATCCGAACCGGAAGCCCCTGCAGAAATTCCGGAGGAGTCCGAGGAATATTATGAAGTGGTAAGCTAACTCAAACTCGCTTTATGGGCTCTGTCAATAGGCATGGGCTCTGTATTCCCGGGGGGAACCAAATTTTTTCGGCCCAAGCCTAAATTTTTTTCTAAATAGCGCATGCGTTTCTAAATGGTTTTTAACTATTCCTGAGCATAAAAACTACCCACATTTTAATTAAAAAATTTAATTTTATGTCGAAAAATCCTATAGAACCTTTAGGATTAGCGGGGGGGAAAGACCCAAAATGACCAATTTTCGACTTTTTCAAACATTTTTCTAATTTTTTTTGAAAGGCTTTTCTACTTTAAATATAGTTAAAATTAACTACAAAAAAAATTCGAAAATACTTTATATTTTATTACTAGGTCAACCGGGAAAACCAGGAAAAAATTTGGTTCCCCCCCGAAATCCTAAAGAACCGAATCAATTGATCTGTCGAAAGTTATATAGTGTTTCCTAGAAGGCTAAAACGAAATTTCAGGACGATGACGCCGAGGAGCTCGATACCGAACCTTTGGCTGATGAGAGCCCGATTCGGCAATTACTGTTTTATCGGGAAAGGAATCTGGGAAAACTACCTCTACCTCGACGGGTTTTCGTAAGTTCACCGCAATACGGACTCAAAAAATTTTCGAAATTTAGCCTGTACTCCGAAATGGTCCCGATAAACCGGCAAAGCAACTCGACCTCTCCAACGATGTCCTATTCCCGTCATTTTTCTAATTCTTTCGTAAATATCTTTACTTACCTTACGCTTTCGATCTCTCGGGTGTGAATAAAAAATATTTAATAATATAGAACAACAGAGAAAATCTGGTAACTTTCCGTGTCTCGGAGCGGAAGATAGCGAGTGAGAGAGAAGGAAAGAGAGAGAGAGAGAGAGAGAGAGAGAGAGTGTGTGTGTCAGAGAGAGTGAAAGAGAGGGAGAGAGAGCCAGAGTGAACAGGGAGAGAGGGAGAGAAAGTGCCCGAGAGTGCCGAGAGAAATCAGAGACATAAAATATCCTCCTTTATAGAATTTTGGGCTGTATCCTTGTGTGTGTGTGTGGATGTCACTTTCGAGGCCCGATTTGAGGGCCCTCCCGTGTGTGTAAAATGCTCCAATTCTCCGTCACCCAGGGGAAACGACCCTCCTCTTTACGATGGTGTTCTCATAATTTCGATAAAATACAAGTTTACAAGGTTAAAATCGGTTTTATTCAATTTTGGGGCCCGGGAGGTCTAATTTGCATAATGTGAAAAAGAGAAACTTCCTCATTCTTGCCAATTGCCCTCGCGATTTGGTCGGGGCGGGGGCGGGGGGGGGGGGTCCGCAGGATCCGAGCAATTGGAAAGTCAAATTTCTCATGCAGCGACCGCATTCCATCGCCCAGGGCCCGCGAAGCGGGTTTTGGGCGCTGGTCATATCAAAAAGTATAAAAAGGCTCCGATACGATACCCCCTATTGTCTGGACGCCTCTGGGACTGTCCATAATTTGTAGTCCGTAGTCTATAATCTTGGAGTTTGTACTCTATCCCCTGTACTTTACAGATACGATGTATTACACAATTTTTGCATCTTCGATGCTTTATTATCCTATTAGAAGTCTGGTAGTGTGGTTTCCGGTCGACGGGTATGAATCACAACGCGGAGTTATGGTGGGTCAAGAAGATGGAGACGCATTAATGACAGGGTTTAATAATTATTTATGTTATGCTTGTAGCTAGCGAAATTCGAAAAGTACTCTGGTAACCGGGCTAGTTTTTATGATCATTGGGCAATTTTTTGTTGAATTCTTTTTTTTTTTGGTTTTTCGAAAGTAAATATTACTTTTTTTAGATTTTTTTGATAAAATGGTGGGAAATCGATGAGGCTTGGGGGATGGGGGATACACGAATCGATAGGACCCGTTTTTTGAGCAGGAAAAATTGCATATTCTATCGGAGGGGGGGGTGGTGGGGGGTTCTGTGGGCTTAAGACGCTCCAGGCAATCCGGAGAGGATGGCGTTCGAGTCGAGCTGAAAATGCATCAGTTTTTGGTGTTATTTAGTATGGATAAAATAAGTTAAGTTGCTCTCTATCTCTCTCTCGCTCTCGCTCTCTCTCTCTACCCACCTTGAAATCCTTCCACGCTTCGCATAGCTGCACCTCGACAGCCGGCAGAATTGGTGCGGCTCGAAGTTCGGCTTGAGCAAGATGGTGAGAGCGTGGAGACCATTTAAAGCCGGTGGTCGTCGTGGTAGACGGGTACCAGCTACCCGGCTCGGGGCGGATCGGGTCTGGAAATTAGGAGGTAATGAATTAGTTCGATGCTTTCCTCTCTCTCGCTCTCTCTCGCTCTCTCTCTCTCACTCTCCCTCTCTCGCTCTCTCTCCACTCACTTCTCTGCGGATGCTGCTGGAAGAGGTCATAGACGGAGATTGGGGTGAAGTGCTGCGAGGAATGGGTTGACGCGTCGCTGACCGGGCCGTGGGCTGTACTCGTCGAAGGCATCGCCGCCGACCAATCGAATACTGGAGGTGTTCCAGGCAGATTTTGGGGCGACTCGTTGAAGGAGGACATCTGCGAGACGTGCGAGACGCGCCGGGAACGCGGCGCGCTCCCCGGCGCCTTGTCGAGCGCGGTGAGGGATTTCTGAAATTGAAAAAAATTAGGGATTGCGGGGGACGGTGAGGTATCTCCAAAACATGAAGAATATAAATAACGTTAATTACAGAATTTATTAGGCTTCGTAATGTATGATCCTGAACCTACTCGTTGCATATAGGCGGAGTGCGCGTCGGTGAATGAAGATGGCTCTTGGTGCGTTGGTTGGTGCAATCCGGAAAGTACCATCTCCTCGATGACCGCGACGTTTTGTGCCTCGCTCATTCTCTAAAAAAATCAACTTTTCACTAGTCATGCTATCTTTCCCTCAGAATCTATGCTCGTCTGCCTAAAAGTTCTGAATTCCCTGAATCAATCCACATCAACTTACCCTCTCAGCCGCTTCAGCAGCAATGATCTGGGAAGTCAGCGGGACGTCCTGGATCATCAGGGCTGAGGTCGAGCTAAAAAGGTTTAATTTATATAATTTGATTTGAGATTTTCGCCAAAAAAACGTTTGTAATGATCCTAAGATCAAAAAGAAGCAATAAATTCCGCTACAAACCTGGCTACACTTTGCACGCTGTCCGCGTCATCATCCTCTTCATCGTCAAAATCTTCATCGTCTCCTTTGCCGATCGTTTCCGGGCTGCTCGGTCCAGCGGAACCGATCATTTCTGAAAGATTGAGGTAATTATGAAGTGGTTTCTTTTGCTCTCGCTCCCTCTCTCTCCACTCACCTCCAGCCAAATCCTTGCCCAGCAGTCGCATCAACTCCTGCTCCATCTCCCCTGCCGTAGCCGGAGCTGGAGTTTGAGAGTCAGACTTGACGCGCTTGGTCTTCTTCTTCTGGACGATCTCCTCCTTGGGGGCCGTGTACACCGGCGTGTTCAGCTTCGGGGTCAGCGGGACCGGTTGCGCCAGGTTTTGGGGCTGTTGCACAGCCGCTAAAATTTTGAATTTAGTTAGTTTTATCGTTTTCGACCTCCAATTGCGCCTCAACTGAGTCTGACTCGAATAGATATTTAAATACAAATAAAGTCTGAAAAAAGGTGAAAATTAACGAAATATATACACGAAAGAAGTAGTTTTTTCACCTTAAAAAACTTTAAAGATCTCCCCCACAAAAAACAAATCCGAAAAAGTAAAATGATGCCTCAGGTTGATTTCGGTGAATGTGTTCATCAACATTATCCTTTAGCTGGTGGTACATTTTTGTCCTCCTCGGCACCGGGCGGGGGTCGAACCCGCATAGGCGGGCGCCGCAGCCCCGCCCCCTAACCCCTCAGCCACACAGGCAGCACTCACGGGGTGGTGCTGTGGAAAAGATGTGCATGAAGGCGCTCCCCGTCAGCCCCTTCGGCTCGTTGCCCACCGGTCTGAAAAGGGTTTTTGATGTTATCATTTTATTGTTTTTGTATAGTAATATTAAAAATGGAATTGCTGTATCCTAAGCCTATTTGGGGGACTTATTTTTGTTATTTTAAGAGGCAAAACTATTTTTAGAATCCATGTTCTATTTTTCGCATTATTTTCTACTCGCCGCTTGGGTTTATCGATATTTATTTAGGTGAGCAAGCTAGCAAAGATCATTGAGGAAGTTTTGTTATAAATTCCGGAAGCTAAAGTCTTTTTTATGAATAAATTCATAGGCAAAAACTAGGTTAGAAATAAGCTTTCTGTTTTTCGTAATTATCTAGTAGTTATTTTGAACTAACCATATTTATGTTGTGGGCAAGCTAGCAAAAATTATTCGAGAAACTTAAATTAGCAAAATTCGAATAGCTAACGTTTATCCCATCCAGTTTTTCAAAGTATTTGGTAAAATTCGCAAGATTTTTAGCAAAATTAGCTTTGGTTTTCCGAATTTTTTGCATAGTTTATTTATTTTTACGTGTTTCGAACCGGCTGACAGAGATTCTTTAAGAAAAACTGGCCAAAATACTCACCGAAACAGCGAATCTGAAGGCGTGATTTTTCGGCGTTCATCGTCAGACCGAGGCGTGGAAGTTGTTGGAGATAAATCCTGATGGATGAGCTCCATCGCCGAGTTCATCTTCTCGTTCACGCCTGAATCATCAATACAAAAATCGAACTCTTGCGAAAAACTCACTTTTCGGGACGACCGGGGTGAAGGCGCTGCGGTCTTTCGTGCGCACGACCGGGGATTTTCCTTGCGGCTGCTTGGGAGCCTGAAAAAGTCCATTTTTGCAAAGTTTTAAGTCGTGAAATCGACTTTTCGTACGCTGCTTTACGCTGAACGCTTCGGAATTAAGAATTTGCATGTGTTAAGCTTTTTTTGATAAGCTTTTTATTCGCGAAAAAAGACCCCTGTAAGCAAGACAAGCTTTTGCTTGGTTCAGTCGCTAAGCTATGGCCCCAATACCGTACCTTCGTCGCCGCCTTCGCCCGCCTCGCCTGCTCCTTCTTCACCCACTGCTGCAACTCGGACACGAACGGGTACACCGTATAGAAGCGGCTGCTCGAGTTCGAAGAGGTGGCCGTCGCCTTGTTGTCCCACTTGTCCTGGGGCAGATCCCAGATCTTGAACCATTGGATTTTTCTGAAATGAGATGGATTATAAGGGGTCAGAAAGGACTTCCAGACTTCCTGGACTTCCTCAAGAATATTTGCTAGCTCGCCTGAAGTTAAAACTACGAACCTAATCTCCTTTTTCGTCATCGGCGCAAAGGGGTAGTCGGCGGGAACGTCGGGGATGATATAGAGGCGGACCATGGTGTCTCCGATGAATTTCTGAAGCATCGATTTAAAGAGAGAGAGAGAGAGAGAGAGAGAGAGAGAGAGAGACAGAGCGAGAGAGAGACATAACGATATGGACAAACCCTACCTGCAGCTTCTTCTCTGTCCCATTCGGCCTATCGATACCAAAATCGTAGCCCGTCTCCTCGTGAACTTCTCGCATCGCGCAGGCGCGTGGCTCCTCGCCCTCGTTGATCTGAAACAGGAGAATTTATAGAAGTAAAGTAGTTGTAGTTTATATTCTGCTAAATTCTGGATCAGCTTCCTAATCACTGCAAACCATTTCTTACGATATTTAGGTATCAAAAATTAGCATAATTACATACCTTTCCCTTCGGGAAACCCCAGCTGTTCTTTGAGTAGTAGCCCTGGACGAGGAGGACGTAGTTGAGCGACGAGTCGAGCAGGATGGCACCATAGGTCGGTACGGCCGACTTGTATTGCCGCCACTCGTCCACGACGCGGTCGACATCCCGGGCGAACGCCTTCAGGAAGTCGCAGTTCGCGAACATTTGCCTGAAAAAATAGCGCTATACGAGTAGAAGATGATAGTTTAGTTAGTTAGTTTAGTTTTGAGCATAATGATAGGCTTAGTCTTTGGCTTAGACATAGATTTCATAGGCGTAGGCTTAGGCTTAGGCTTAGGCTTCGGCTTCGGCATAGGCTTGGAATTAGGCTTACGCTTGGCTTAGACGTATGCTTAGGCTTTGGTATGTGGTTGGCCTTAAGCTTAGGCTTATGATTATGCGACTTTTTTTGACCAATTTTTCAAGCTTACTTCGAGAACTCCTTCATCCCGAGCGTATGGCAATCGGCCCGATCTTTGCAGTAAATGTCGAGGTACATCCAGAAGGCCAGCTCGATTTGGAAGCAGATGCGCACCTGGTTTGTTTGCTAAAAAAGCAAGTTTTTTGTCATCTTCAATCTTACGTACCTCATCAGGCGGCAGGTTGTTCAAAAATCGGAAGCACAGATCGTCGAGTACCTCTTCGGGGATTGGGGGCTAAAAATTGAGTAAAATTGGCGTAATTTCCCGTAATTTTCCAGAAGCTGAACAGCTACGCTACATTACTAAAAACATACCCCGGAAGACGTCGAGGCATTTTGGGACTTTGTCCTGGGCGAATGGGCAAACTTGACGCCCGTGTTGAAGAACGGGATCAGGTCGGCGGTGTTGGTGGGAAAGTAATCTTGGTACTGAAAAGGTATATACTATTATACGTCTAATTGGTGAAGCTTCAGAATTCGTGGTCCTAATTCCTAGCATGAACATCATATTCAAGGAGTTCGGTTTCGGTTTTGCAGCAAATTTAAGCCGTTGAAGCTCAAAGGTTACGGTGTTCGGCGTCTAATTTCCTAAGAAACGCCATCTTCAAGAAGTTGAACTTGCGCTTTGTCACTGATTCTAGCCGCTTTTTCAGGTTATTCTCAAGCTTCAAAACCGGATATCTACGTTCTAGGGATGGCGACGTCTTCAAGACGTACAACTGGTGGTTTCTGAGCAATTCCAGTGCTCTTAATATATTGGAAGCTTCAAATTTCAGATTCAAAGTTCTAGAGGCTATAACGACTTCAAGGCGCTCGGTTTTCCATTTCAACCCACCGGATCCGGCTGCTGCGGCCCGGTGTGCTGGAATCGTTGCGCCACGGAGGTGGCGCGCGACGGCTTCTGCTTCGGGGACGCCCAGATGTTCTTCAGGCTTGGGTCGAAGCCGTATTTCGAGGTGGATGGCTAAAAATACGCAAATATAACGTAATGAAACGTAGTGTAGAACGTGAAAATCGGTTTAAAAACGTAAAAAAATCCTTTTTCAACTCCACTTACCATTTTCGAGTTCTCGAACACATAAACCCGATTCGGGTCGAAGCTGGGCCCTCGGCTGCTGCTCGGTCCACCGTTGTTGTGGTGGTAGCTGTTGTTGTTGTTGTTTCTGCTGGCCCCCGGTGACTTTTGGGGCTTTTGCGGTGTTTTCTGAAAGATATTTAGTAGATTAAGCCATTTCCAGGCATCTTTTAGTTTATTACAAGCTCAGTGATTTAAATAAATATTTATATAATCTAATTCAATTTGATTATACTTACACTTTGCCGTGATGGTCCCGGCTGTCTGGCGAGGCTTTCGGGGGACAGTTGGCGAGCCGCCGACGATGTTCGTGCCGGCGGGCCCTGCGCGATCTGTAGCAGCAGACTGCGGATCTCGGGGCTTTCCACGTCAGCAAACTATAAAATCGGTATATTAATTTGTTTTATAATTTGCGGTTTATGCCATTTTTCTGAAAGGCAAATTTTAAAACTATTAAACTCCCATTTAATGATTTGAAAACTAACGCGCAAGCACAGGAAATCCAGCATAATTCCCCCAGGTATCCAAGGATTTTCTGGATACCTTCCAAATCACCTCCACACCCCCGAAACAACCACCGGAAAGACATGAAAAACCCAAGGTCATCACGACCGCGGACAAATCAACGTCAAATCGTTGCGCGCGACATTTCCGGGAGGCATTATCGTCCTGGGAAACTACCCGCCGGGACCGGAACCGGTTTCCCCCCGGCTCTCGCGCCAATTTTGCGTAGAATTTGCTGCCCCCTTCAGACTTACATTGCTGCCCGTCTGGAAAGCGTCGACACCGCTCATGTCCACCGGCCTGACGCGGGGCGGCTTGTTGCTGCGCCGGGTGTCCTGATGTTGCATCCTTTCCGGCCTGAATTGGGGGGTTACTGGACTTGTAGTTATTTTATCAGGTCATTAGGGAGATCGTGGAATTCCTTAGGTAAGAGAAAGGTGTGATAATACATGAAATGAGATAAAAGTGTGCGCTAGCTGCGATGTAAAAAAGATCTACGTAATCAATATACTATCATATGGAAAAATAAAAAACTTCCTTTAATTGGACCAATTCGCTAAAGAAATTTGGAAAAAGTTATTTTCTGAAAAGGAAAACTTGAAGACAAGAGTAAAAGCCATACAACTGACTGCCTGACTCCTAGGGAGTAAAGGTTGCGTGCAGCTGCACGCAGATGCCGACCCACCACTCAAATCTCACTTATCAAATAGCGGGTTCGGGTCGACGCACTAATGTTTCGTCGTAATGATAAAAATTCGCCCCAAATTCCCCATCACTCCAAAAAAATAGACGGATTGATAAGAGCACTATGCAATTTAATAATGATCCTACTAACGATTTTATAACTTTAAATAACATTCCTAGCGCTATCCCTTGATTCCCGGTTCCGAGCCAGATCCAGACGCCAAAGAATTTCACATCAAAACAGTAGAAAAACACATTCTGCCAACCCCTCAGATAAACAGCGTTTCGAAATCGGTTGTTGTCAATGGCATTCCGGCTTCAAAAGTTATTACATCATCATTTAACCGAAATAATTGGCGCGAAAAAGGGAATTGTCAATCGCGGCGGGGACTTCTCCCCGAAACCCACCGGCAAGCACGGTCTCGTTTTTTAGTATAGATCTCGGAAAAAGGGTCAAAAAGCCGTGGGTGAGGCGAAAGTGAACACGGCGGAATCCCGGGCGGACGCGGCGATAAGCCTTGATGGAAGGGTCGAGAGGTCGCGCTGACCGCACTCCGTCTCTGCACCCTCTCGCTCTCTAACGCGTCAACAGGTGCCCCGTGGAGCCCCTTTCCGAAAATGTGTAATTTTCCGCCAAACGATGATTCGAATTTCCCCGAAATGTTCTCTTCTCTCACCTTGGCTCATTTTTACATCGAGTAGAAGGCTTTCAATTTTATAAAAACAGCTTACTAAATTCACATTGATAGAACTCTTGATCACCTCCCAAAAAGTATAAGTTTTTCGAAAAACAGGCTTCTGTATTGTATTTACAGAATTTTGCGGTTCCGGCGAGCTTTTGCGCGATAAATCTGTGAAACAAGACAATTTATTAGATTCACATTGATAGAACTTTCTTTCATGTCTCAACCCATGCGTTTTACGAAACAAAACGTTCTCCGGTATTGTTTATTTCAAGTGCTTTTGTCTGATCTCGCTTTTCGCCCACAAAGAAATCTAGCTAGCAACTTTGCAGGTGAAATTCAAAGAAATAGCTTTGTTCCCTTTTACCTGCGATAACGTCCTAAGCGTATAAATAATGGCTACGAAAAACACGTCTCTCGATTGTTTATATTGGCAATTTCCATTTGATTTTCCTTATTGACGTTTTTATATTCCTTTTTTTCAGCCAATCTCATCAACGTCAGCCGTTTTTTGAAAGCTGCAAAGATGACGATCAGCAAGAACAACAAGATGATGCAGCACCTCAACTTCCGCATGCGGATCATGTTGCAGGATGGACGCACGTTCGTCGGCTATTTTAGGGGTACGTCATGCCCTTCATTGCTGTATCAAACTCATTTTCAGCCTTCGACAAGCACATGAACCTGCTGCTCACCGATTGCGAGGAGTTCCGCAGCATCAAGCCGAAGGCCGGCAAGAAGGCCGACGGTGAAGAGAAGCGGATGCTGGGTTGGTTTTTTATCTTTGTCGTTGGAGAGAGCTTGTTTTTGAGTGTATTAATTTTTTTGCCTTTAGGACTCGTCCTTCTTCGTGGCGAGCACATCGTCTCGCTGACGGTCGAGGGCCCGCCGCCCAAGGATGAGGAAGGCCCACGTCTCCCCAAGGCTGGCGGCAACGCTGGACCCGGACAGGCCAAGCCCGCCGGACGTGGCATGCCGATCGCCCCTACTGGACCCGCTGCTCCCGCTGGACTTCAGGTACCAAATTCTAGAAGTAAATTAACGTGTTTCTTTCTAGGGAGCTGTTCGTGGTGTCGGCGGCCCGTCGATGGGAATGATGCAGCCCGGCTACGGAGGACCCGGTGCCCCGCCTCGTCAATTCTAAACACTTTGGAACCACAATTGGCTATTTATCCCTTTTTTTTGTGTCTAACATATTCCATCAACGTACACCATCCCGATGTCCCTTACACATGATCTACCACCCGAATTGTTCATTGTTTCGTTTTTGTCGTAAGTTGTGACATTGTATCTCATTTGTTCATATGGGTCTCAATAAATTTGTTCTAGCCACAATTGGTCAAAAAGAAATGCAAAAAAAGTTGTTGCTATCGTTACCTGGTTGTGGGTTGGGTGTTCGTGATACTGGATTTTACTTATTTACTTGTTCATCGCCTCGTTTTAGTGGACCCACCATGCCGCCCAAGAAGGTCGTCGAGGAGCCGCCGCCACTTATCGGCCGCCTGGGCACCAACTTGAAGGTGCAGATTTCATCAAATCCGTTGGAAAATCGTTCTTTTCTAGGTCGGTATTCTGGGTCTGCCCAACGTGGGCAAAAGCACGTTCTTCAACGTGCTCACGAAGAGCGAGGCCCAGGCCGAGAATTTCCCCTTCTGCACCATCGACCCCAACGAGAGCAGGTTCATCGGCCTTTCTCACCATAACTTTTTGTCTAGGGTCCCGGTCGCCGATCCACGATTTGATTGGCTCGTCAACTTCTTCAAGCCTGCCAGCAAGGTTCCCGCCTTCCTGAACGTCACCGATATTGCTGGACTTGTGAAAGGTGTTCTGTTTTTGCGTTAGTGGCAACTTTGATTTCTAGGTGCTTCTGAGGGACAAGGGCTCGGAAATGCTTTCCTGTCCCACGTCTCGGCTTGCGACGCACTTTTCCATCTGTGCCGAGCATTCGATGATGACGACATCACGCACGTCGAAGGTGTGCTCGACATTTTTTGCTTCAAACTTTGTTTCTAGGCGAGATCAACCCGGTCCGTGATTTGGATATCATCTCCGACGAATTGCGCCTGAAGGATCTACAATATTTGGACGGCTCTGTCAAGAAGCTGGAGACGCTAGTTGTGCGGGCAAACGACAAGACCAAGAAGGTATAACGCACCGCCTTTAGCTTGACTTTTTTTGCAGCTCGAATACGACACGCTACTCAAGGTTCAAAAGATGCTCACCGACGAGAAGACGCCGGTGCGGAAAGCGGTACCTTGGTTTCCTACTTCCCGTGATGCCGTTTAGGCATGGAACGAGAAGGAGATCGAGATCCTGAACAAGCACCTGTTCCTCACTGCCAAGCCGATCGTCTACCTGGTCAACTTGAGTGAAGCTGATTATATTCGAAAGGTACTTTTTGCTTTTCATTTTAATTTCTAAACTCGTTTTCAGAAGAACAAGTGGCTGCCGAAAATTAAGGCCTGGATTGACGAGAACGACCCCGCGGCCAAGCTGATCCCGTTCTCAGGTGAGGCTCTTTTTCCGGTAGCTTTTTGAAACGTATTTTTAGGTGCCTTTGAACTAAAGAGCATCGAGATGCCGGAGGATGAGCGCGAGAAGTTCTACAAGGAAGTGGGCGCCACGTCGAATCTCGACAAGATTGTGCACACCGGATACGAGGCCCTCCAACTCCAGTACTTCTTCACGGCCGGAGAGGACGAAGTCAAGTGCTGGACAATTCAGGTGCGTCCGTTGCGTCCCTTTTTTTTTTTCATGATTCCTTTT